GGACATGCAAATTAAAACTGCAATGAAATATTATTATACATCCATTAGAATGGCTAAAATTTTAAAATCTGACAGTACCAAACGCTGACGGGGTTATAAGACAAAGGCAATTTTCATAGTCTTGGTGAGAGGTTAAATTAGTAGAACCACTTCTGAAAACAACTGAAACAATGGGTACATTCATATACTACTGATGAGAGAATAAACTAGTTAAAACCACCTTGGAAAACAATTTGGCATATCTATAAAAGTTAAAGATATAGATACAAATTCTATGATCCAGGACGCCACTCACAGATACATATACCTAATAATAATAAATGCATTTGTTCATTGCAGCATTCTTTGTAAGAGTCCCAACCTGTAAACAACCCAAATATCTATCAATATTAAAACGGATGAATAAATCTTGATGTATTTACATAACAGGCTACTACATGGCAGTGAATCACAGTCACAACATGGGTAAATCTCACAAACATAATACTGAACAAAAGAAGCCAGACACAAAATACATACTTGATAGCTTCATTTACATTAAATTTTAAAAAACAGACAAAAGTCAATTACAGTGCCTAGAGATGCATGCTTGAGTAGCAAAAGTATAAAGAAAAACAAGAAAGTAAATACCATAAAATCAAGATAATGGTAACTCTTAGAGGGGAGGAGGGAGACAATGATTACTAGGGGTCACAAGGAGAGCTTCTGGGGTTCTAGCAAATTCTGTTTCTTGACCTAGTTCCTAGTGACATAGATATTTTCTTTGGGAAATCATTTAGCTGTTTATTTTCGTTTCAGGCACTTTTCTTCATGTGTTTTATTTCACAAGAAAGATAAAAAAAAAGACTCAAGGGGCAAGTTAAATAGCAGATTAGACAGAACTAAAGAAAGAAAAAGGGAAGTATAAAAGAGACCTGAAGAAATTGTGCAGAATGAATCCAGGGAGACAAAGATGTTAGGCATTAAAGAGAGTACAAACCATGTAAGGGAGCATAAAAAGTTCAGAGCACAGCTGATCAAGTTCCAACAAGAAAGAAGGAGGTGAAAAAGGTGGAAGAAGAGGAAGGGGAGGAGGAGAAGGAGGAGGATAAACAGGGTAAAGGCAATCTTCGAAGAGAATTAAAAATTGATTTAAGATATCTATCCTTACATCCAGATATCTCTCTGAATCCCAAGCAGGAATACAGAGAGAAGACAACACCTAGTCTTATCATAGTGAAACTTCAGAACCACCAACTCAAAGAGAAGATCTTAAAAGGAGTTACAAAAAATTAGATTACCTATAAAGAACCAATATTTAGACTGACAGTTATTTTCAGTGCAACAATGGAAGCCAGAAGAAAATGGGATGCAATCTTGAAAATGATGATAAATTGCTAAACTGGAATTGTATCTCCAGTAAAAATATCTTCCAAGATCAAAGGCAAAATAAAGACGCTTTCAAAACAAGAATGATTAAGTTTACTATCTATGAGTCCTCAAGAAATGAACTTTTAAAGTTCAAAAACAGACACATAGATCAATGGAATAGGATAGGACATCCGGAAATAAACCCACCCACTTATGGTCAATTAATCTATGACAGAGGAGGCAAAAATATACAATGGAAAAAAGACAGTCGCTTTAATAAGTGGTGCTGAGAAAACTGGACAGCTACCTGTAAACGAATGAAATAAGAACATTCTCTAACACTATATACAAAAATAAACTCAAAATGGATTAAAGATCTAAATATAAGACTGGGTACTATAAAACTCGTAGAGGAAAACACAGGCAGAATACTCTTTGACATAAATTGCAGCAATATGTTTTTTGAACCAGCTCTTAGAGTAATGGAAATAAAAGCATAAACAAATGGAATCTAATTAAATTTAAAAGCTTCTGCACAGCTAAGGATACCATCAACAAAACGAAAAGACAGCCTACAGAACAGGAGAAAATATTTGCAAATGATGCAACCAACAAGAGACTAAATTCCAAAATATACAAAAAGCTCATATAGCTTAATATAAAAAAATACTACAAGCAACCCAACCAAAAATGGGCAGAAGACCTAAATAGACATCTCTCCAAAGACATCCAGATGGCCAGCAGGCACATGAAAAGATGCTCAACATCGTTAATTATTAGAGAGGTGCAAATTAAAACTACAATGAGGTATCACCTCACAACAGTCAGAATGGCTATCATTAAAGAGCCTACAAATAATAAATGCTGGAGAGGGTGTGGAGAAAAAGGAACCCTCTTAAACAATTGGTGGGAATGTAAACTGGTACAGTCACTATGGAGGATAGTATGGAGGTTCCTTAAAAAACTAAAAATAGACTTAAATGATCCAGCAATCCCACTCCTGGGCATATACCCAGAGAAAACTATAATTTGAAAAGATACATGCACCCCAATGTTCATAGCGGCAAAATTTACAATAGCCAAGACATGAAAACAATCTAAGTGTCGACTGACAGATGAATGGATAAAGAAAATGTGGTACATACATTCAATGGAATACTACTCAGCCATAAAAAGAATAAAATAACATTTGCAGCAACATGGATGGACCTGGAGATCATCATTCTAAGCCAGATAAGAGAAGGAAAAATATCATATGATATTGCTTATATGTGGAATCCAAAAAAAAAAAGACACAAATGAACTTAATTTACAAAACAAAAACAGACTCACAGACACAGAGAACAAATTTATGGTTACCAGGGGGTACAGGGGATAAACTGGGAGTTTGAGATTTGCAGATACTAACTACTACATGTGAAATAGATGAACAACAAGTTTATACTGTATAGCACAAGGAACTATATTCAATATCTTGTAGTAACTTATAATGAAAAAGAATATGAAAATGAATATGTATGTATATGTATAACTTAAACATGCTGTACACCAGAAATTGATACAACATTGTAAACTGACTATACTTCAATAAAAAAGAATGCAAATTTTAAAAAATTTTTTAAATCTTCCAAGATCAAAAGCAAAATAAAGACACTTTCAAAACAATACTGATTAAGTTTAGTACTGAGTCCACAAGAAGAGAACTTCTCAAGGATCATCTTAAAGAGAATGATGCCAGGTAGGGAGGGATATAGCTCAGTGGTACAGCACATGCTTATTAGCACGCACAATGTCCTGGGTTCAATCCCCAGTATCTCCACTAAACAAACAAACAAACAAACAAATAAACACAAGAAGCCTTTAAAAAAGAGAGGGAATGATGCCAGAATGTTCTGAGATATAAGGAAAGGTAAGCAAAGAAAAAGGTAAACACTTGGGTAAATCTAAACAAATACTGACTAAATAAAAGAAGAACAAAAACAGTAACTAAACAAGTACTTACACAAAAGTGAATGAAAGAGAAAGGGAAACAAATGGAAAAATGAAGAGAACAAGGATGGATGGAACAGTTTTTCTGTGGCAGCAATCAGAGAAATACAATCACACCTGAAGGGAGATGTGGCATCAGTGTAAGTTCAGAACACTCAAAAGCCAAAACAAAGTGAGTTTTGGATTATTTGCCACTTTAACTTATCCGTGCCTCTGCTACAGTAATCAAATATATTATTAAATCAATTGCTGTTACTATTCACTTCAGACCACTCTGTTTTTGCTGTAGTTATACTTCATTTAGTTGGAATAATCAGGGTATTTGGCAAATGTGAATTTTCATAATCTACCAAAGCTCACTGTTTACTGTGTTTTCTTCTACTGCTGTTGGTGTAAATATTTCTAGAATGATATAGAAACATGTTAATATATCGAAAATGATATAATTCATATACACAACAGATTAAAAATTCCCTATCCTTTCCTGATGGCCCAAGGTCATTGGTATAAACCACTACTCTTGCTGATATAAAGAAACACCCTCAGGAGCTATAGAAGGCCTTGTGTGACTACTAAACTTTTCCCACACTGTCACATGTTCTCTTCTTGGTCATCATTGTATTGGCATCTGATAATCCCTCCTACCAACCTGTGATCTGATTTTGTGGCAGCTATTCTGCTCAGGGCCTCTTTCCATGACACTTCCTGGCTCTTGACTGAACTCCAGATACCCAGATGATATATATCAGAGAATCTTGGCAAGGTATTATTCTGTTTAATAAGAGATGATAACTATGATTTATTTATATTTTTGTAGTAACTTCTGTTTCAAGGAGATTAAAGTTCACTCTGTGAATCAGAATGACAGAAGAATAGGTGTACCATATCCTCATCACAACTATGTGACAACACTCCCAAAGGAACGGCTATTAGAAAAATTAATCAGATGTTTAAGACCAACTCAAAAGCTAGTTACTAACTTCATAGCCTTGGGCAAGTAACTTAAACTTTTTTATGGTTTCCTAGCTGTAAAGTGAAGATAATAGTATCTTCCTACAGAGAATTATTGTCAAAATTAAATGAGATAATACAAAAAAAAACCCCACAAAACCGAGCACAGTACCTGGCATGGAGTAAACAATGACTTACATTTTACCTATTATCTTTTAAAATTCTAATTCATGTAATAATTCCCCTTAAATAGACTTCCTTAACTATCTTCTCCTTATGAAAACACTACTAAAAATATTAACAGTAGCTAATATTTAATGAGCACTCACTATATGTTAAAATTGTGCTGAAGCCTACATAGGGATCATCTATTTGAATCCTTAAAAAAGCCCTGGGTGGTGGAGTCTATTACATCCCTATTACAGATAAGTATGCTGAGGCTCAAAGAGGCTAAGTAGCTTGTCCAAGACAAGTTCACAGAATGATAAGTGGTGAAAAGGAACTCATACAGGTCTGACTCCAGAATCCATGACGATAAGCACTCCCCTATCCCGAGAAGAGAAGCCGCTTCCCCTTCTGCTCAAATTTATTTACAAGTAAGTTGAGAACAAGCTAATTTTCCTTTATTCTTATTCTCTATTTGACTATTCAAGGTTCCTAGCTGGAAGAACGGAAAAGACTGATTTGTTTTATTTTTGCTTTTAACTTACCCACTCACAGTCGATTCCAAGGACTGGGAAATCCTCTAACTCATTCCTAAGCAAGGGCTCGATTTGATCCCACTCTGCCTCCTGAGACACAGTCACCACCTTTGCTTGGAGGATCCTCTCCTCCCAGGAGGCTCTGGGGGCACTGGAGCGCGACTGGTCCTCTTCTGGGGCGGGCAGCTCTCTCCTGCCTGGCACTTTCTGCGGCGGAGGCGGAGGCGGAGGCGGCGGCGGCGGCGGCGGCGGCGGCTGCTCCCGGGTCCCACGGTTCGTTTTACTCCTCCGACGCTGGATGCCTTTCCACAGGACAAACCCCCCGACAGCCACCCCAAGAAGGGTGGTCACTGTCAAAGCCACTAAATGTTTAGACATCTTCAACTTTTCTGCTATTTAGGAAAGCATATCACTAATCCCACAATCTGCAAAACAAATGGTAACAATACATTTACATACAAAATTTAAAGCTACGTGAAAACAAGTTTTCCCCGAAAAAGTTCCAATTTCAATCCATGTGCCCACAAATTTAAAAAATTGTTACAAATTTCCACTTAACACAATGATATTTAAAATTTTTTTCCCTTTTGTACATCCTGTACTCCATCTCCATTCTCACCCGAGAAACATCCCCTTCCTGCCCTCTACTAGTTGTCCAGGGCTCTCTTAATCCTATAAAATCATATCAATCAAAACAGAATAAACTAGACTCTCACTTCCACTTGCTGACGTATTGTGAGTAAATTTTAGTTAACATACATGCCTCAGGCTGTTGGCACTTTAAACCCTCAATCTCCAACAGTCAAATGGAAACTTCTGCTCTTAAGTTAAAAAAAAAATTCTTATCATCAGCAAGTTGGTGGGAAGTTTTTTTTTTCTTTTTCACTTTTCTAGAAGGTATGGGTGGTAGGGGATGGAACAAACAGGCTTGAGTAAACATGGATTTTTCTGTTCCTCCAGAAGTCTCAGTAGTTCTCCATAGAAACAGAGTCAGTTACTGAGGGTATGCTAGAGCAGTACAAAAGGAAAGACGGAGTTAGAAAAGAAAAAGAAAAGAACAGGACTTAGAGAGAGACCCAAGATGTTTAGAAAGAGGTTGCAAATTGAAATGTCCACAGGGTCAAAACAGGATAACATAAATAAGTGAAGCAAGCCAAGTGCAAGAGAAAACTGACACAGACATCCTATTAAATACGTAGGAACTGTCTTCCTCTATCACAAAATACCCTCTTTCCCATTTTTCTTCTGTGAAATAAAATTCATATTTTATGGCAAGTCAAGAAAAGATTAAACAAAAAAATTTCTCCGCTCTTTGGCCTCTCTCCCCCACTGTGCATTGTGTATCTCCATTATGCATCAACCAAACCTTCCCCATCAGCAGAAATACATGCTCAACCCTAAAGAGCAATGTTCTAGCATCAACAAGACAACTCTTTAAAGATAACATTCCTTCTTGATCTCATAAGGAAACACATGGTGCTTACATCTGGATTATGTAAACTGTCAATAATACATCATTTGCTGTACAGCCCTTGACTTCCAAACAGTGGAACAGTTCTCAGAGCTTCCTGACATGCTCTTCCCAGGTTGTAATCCTCAAAATTTAGCTCTTATAAAATTTTCCATTTCTTTCTTAGATCGATTGATTACTTTTTTTCACTGATACTTACAAGGTGGTTTTTTCCCCATCTATCTCCTGTTTTTGACAGAAAAATAGGTATATACTACTATTTCTGTACTATTTTAAAAACAACAGTAAAAATGTAACAGTAAATTGAAAATGAATGGAAATAGTACTGGCCTTGGCCTCAATAATGGAGAGAAAACATGAGACAGCAAACATTCAACACAAGCTGTTGATCCTGTTTGGGAAGAAGGCCCAGTGTGGTCAGATTATCTTGATTATTCAAGAGAAGTCAAATATCTGAGTTTTTGTAAAACATCACCATTTTTAAGTGCCAGCAACAAATTCACAGTTTTTGAAACACTGTGCCAGCCAAATAAAAATATTTTGGGCTCTGCACTACCCAGATCGTAAAGATGATCAAAGAGCTTGGGAGAAGAATGGATGCACAGGGCAAGAAGTTAGAAGTTTTTAATAAAGAGTTAGAAAATATAAAGAATAATCAAACAGAGATGAAAAATGCAATAACTGAAATGAAAAATACACTAGAAGGAATCAATAATAAACTAAATGACACAGAGGAATGAATCAGTGACCTGGAGACAGAATAGTGGAAATCACTGCCACTGAATAGAAAAAAAAAGAATAAAAAGAAATAAGGACAATTTAAGAGACCTCTGGGACAACATCAAGTGCACTAATATTCACACTATAGGAGTCCCAGAAGAAGGGAAAGAGAAAGGGCCTAAGAAAATATTTGAAGACATAATAGCTGAAAACTTCCCTAGCCTGGGAAAGGAAAGAGTCACACAAGCCCAGGAAGTGCAGAGAGTCCCATACAAGATTAACCTCAAGAGGAACACACCAAGACACATTATAATTAAAACACACTGTAATTAAAACAAAGAGAGAATATTAAAAGCAGCAAGAGAAAAGCAACAAATAACACATAATGGAACTCCCATAAGGCTATCAGCTTATCTATCAGCAGAAATTCTACAGGCCAGAAAGAAGTGATATTATATATTCAAAGTGATGAAAGAGGAAAAACTACAACCAAGAATACTCTACCCATCAAGGGTCTCCTTCAGATTTGATGGAGAAATCAAAAGCTTTACAGACAACCAAAAGCTAAAAGAATTCAGCTCTGTCAAACCAGCTTTACAACAAATGTTAAACTTCTCTAGGTAGAAAAAGAAAAGGCCACACTGGAAACAAGAACATTATGAAATGAAAAAGCTCACTGGTAAAGGCAAACACACAATAAAGGTAGAATATCAGCCACATGCAAAGCTAGTAGGGAGGTTAAAGGACAAAAGTAGCAAAATCATCTATCTCTACAATAAGCAGTTAAGGGATACACAGAACAATTAGATGTAAAATACGGTATCAAAAGCAGTAATCATGAGGGGAGAAGAGTACAAATGCAGTGTTTTTAAAATGCATTTGAAATTAAGAGATCAGCAACTTAAAACAATCATGTATGTATGCAGACTGCTATACCCAAACCTCATGGTAACTGCAAATCAAATATCTATAATAGACACATACATACACACACACACACACAAAGGAATATAAACATAACACTAAAGATAGCCATCAAATCACAGAGAAGAGAGCAAAAGAAAAAGGGCTGGGGGCAAGACCTACAAAAACAAATCCAAAACAATTAATAAAATGGTAATAAGAACATACATATTGATAATTACCTTACATATAAATAGACTAAATGCTTCAATGAAAAGACACAGACTGGCTGAATGGATACAAAAAAGAAACAAGACCAGTTTATTTGCTGCCTAAAAAAGACTCACTTCAGACCTAGAGACACAAACATTGAAACTGAGAGGATGGGAAAAGGTATTCTGTGCAAGTGGAAATCAAAAGAAAGTTGGAGTAGCAATACTTATATGAAGCAAAACAGACTTTAAAATAAAAACTGTACAAGAGACAATAAAGGACACTACATAATGCTCAAGGGATCAATCCAAGAAGATGTAACAGTTGTAAATGTATTGTGCACCCAACTTAGGAGCACCTCAATGTATACGGCAACTGTTAACATAAAGGGAAAAATTGACTATAACAAAATAATAGTAGAGGACTGTAATACCCCATTTACATCAATGGACAGATCATTCAGATATAAAATCAGTAAGGAAACACTTGTCTTCAAGGACACATTAGACCAGATGGACTTAATTTATTATATAGAAAGCATTCCATCTGAAGGCAGCAGAATATACATTCTTTTCAAGTGCACATGGGACATTCTCCAGGATAAATCACATGCTAGGCCACAGAACCAGCCCCAGTGAATTTAAGAAAATTAAAGTCATAACAAGTACCTTTTCTAACCAAAACATTATGAAACCAGTAATCAATTACAAGGACAAAAAATACAAGTTAAATAAGTCAGACAAAAAAGGACAAATACTGTATGTTATCATTTACATGGTGGAATCTAAAAAAATACAACAACAACAACAAATACAACAAACTAGTGAGTATAACAAAAAAGAAGCAGACTCACAGATCTAGAAAACAAGCGAGTGCTTACCAGTGGGAAAGGGAAGGGGGAAGGGCAAAATGGATGAGGGAGAAAGGGGGTTATCATGAGATTATATGAAATCATGTGCACGAAACTTCTGAAAATTGTAAAACACTATCAAATGTAAAGACTCTTTCATTCAATAATAATTTTTAAAAGAGTATGAACAGGATCCCTCATGAGAGGACAGACCCTCAAACCTGCACTCTGGACTGATACAGGGCCCCAGTTCACATTACCCTCACAAAAGGAAACCCTCAGCCAGGAAACTCAATTTAAAATGCTTAGAATTGGTGAGATCTGTTGGAATAAGGCGAAGTTGATCATAAAACTGTTTCACCACACAGTGGTATATTTCTACCAAGCAGGAAACATGCAGGACTCTCACGGAAGATCAGTCCCTAGAAGAATGCTCATAAACAAATCAAAACAAAACCAAAGCCCCTTAAAGCCAATAAAAATAGTTCACAGAGCCAGCAAACAAAAATATCCATGCCTAAGATCTGAAAGAGACTTTAACACTCAGGGAAATTAAGGAAAATAAAATTTAAAACAGGAACAGGAGACAACAAAAAGTAGAATTTCTAGACGTGAAAAATATTTGTTAAAAATTTTTAAAAACTCAATACTCAATAGACAGGTTAAACAGTAGATCAGATATATGCAGAGAGAGACTGTTACTGAATTGAGGATAAATCTGAGGATGTCACATAGAACGCAGCACAGAGATAAAGGGGTAGAAAATATGAGTAGAGACATGGAGGATGGATTGAGAAACTCTATTTCCAGATAATGAACATTTGGAAAATGAAGGAAGTCTGATTTGGTACACCCTCTGAGTCCCAAACTGGATAAATTAAATCTATCCACAAAAAGACTTGAAAAAGAATATTCATAACAGCTTTATTCATAACTGCCCCAAATTGGAAACGGCCCAAGTGGTACATCCACACAATGGAATGCTAATCAGCAATAAAAAAAGATGAATCACTGATACATACAACATGGATGAATCTCATATTACCTTATGCCAAGTGAAAGAAGCCAGACACAAAAGAGATATTGTATAGCTCTATTTCTATAAAGTTCTAGAACAGCTAAAACTAATCTATGGTAGAAAAAAAATCTGAACAATAGTTGCCTCTGGGAGAGGTGAGTACAGGGAAGAGACATTTAAGCTGAGCTCTGAATGACAAAAAGGAGCCAGTCATGCCAAATTCTGAGGAAGAGCATTTCAGGCATAAGGG